GGCACGACACACTGAGGACTACGCTTGCGGCTCTTGGGTTTGCTCCTTCTACTGCTGACCCGTCGCTGTTTCTTCGCACCGACACTTCCCTGCCGCCGTTCTACATCCTCGTGTACGTCGACGACTTGGTCTTTGCCACAGCGGACACTGCTGGACTCGCCTACGTGAAGTCCGAGCTGCTGAAGAGACACACGTGCACAGACCTGGGTGAACTGCGCAGCTACCTTGGCTTGCAGATCACTCGGGACAGAGCACGCCGCACCATTACCTTGACTCAGTCACACATGGTGCAGCAGGTCCTTCAGCGCTTCGGCTTCACGTACTCCTCGCCTCAGGCCACTCCTCTGCCTACTCGCCACTCACTCTCAGCTCTGCCTTCGGATGAGTCCGTAGAGTCGAGTGGTCCGTATGCAGAGCTTGTTGGCTGCCTCATGTACCTGATGACCTGCACACGACCTGACCTTGCATACCCTCTGAGCATTCTTGCACGCTATGTTGCTCCTGGGAGACACAGACCGGAGCACATGGCTGCAGCGAAGAGGGTATTGCGCTACCTGTGCAGTACGTCGGGCATGGGGCTAGTGCTTGGAGGGCGGAGTCCAGTGGTCCTTACCGGCCACGCGGACGCTTCTTGGGCTGACGACCAGGCTACGCAGCGGTCGTCACAGGGTTACACCTTCAGCCTTGGTTCCAGCTCTGTCTCGTGGCGGTCTACTCGCTCGTCTTCGGTTCTCGGCTCCAGTTGTGAGGCTGAGATCTACGCCGGGGCCATGGCTGCTCAGGAGCTTCGCTGGCTCACCTACCTGCTGACTGACCTTGGAGAGCCGCCTCGTTCTCCTCCAGTGCTGTACGTAGACAACAAGGCCATGCTGGCCTTGTGTCGAGAGCAGCGCTTGGAGCACAGAATGAAGCACATTGCTCTCCGCTACTTCCTTGCTCGTGAGCTGCAGCAGCGTGGTCAGTTGCGACTTGCGTACGTGGCCTCTGAGGCCAACACTGCTGATGTGTTCACCAAGGCACTCGCGCCTTGTGACCATCAGCGCTTTTGCACCCAGCTGGGTCTTGTGCCTGTCTTGCCTCACTTGCTCTCCTCTTGACTTCACTTGTACTGTGACATATATATATGCCTGTTCTTGCTTGTCTAGTTTTATATATATGTCTGTACTCCTGCATGTGAACTGGCCTCTGGCCCTACTCTTGTGCTCGGACTGTGTGGTGACTTTGTGATCCACCCTGAGCTTGCTTTGCTTTGCTTGACTGGTCTTGTGACCCCTTGTTCTCCCCCACTTTGCCTATGGGGGTGTGTCAGATTTATATGACATAGTTGCTGTAGGCTATAGTGGGGTAGCACATATGGGGTACAGGTTCTCTAGGGTTGCATTTTGTACCCAATCTTTCCTTAGTCATTCTCATTCCTGTTTTCTTTACTTCACAGACGAACCCGTTGGTGAGGAAGCCTGGCATTTGTTGTCATGTTATGTTTCTAGACTGCGTCACATAACTAACCTGGTGCTTTCCTCACGCCTCAAGTAATACTGTGTACGACCGTACTCTGAGGATGGCGGGCATTAAGCCGACGGGTGATGCTGGAGTTTTGCACGAGGAGGCAGAGGAAAACCCCGTCAATGGCGACCTTAGGCTGAAGGCCTCCAAGCTTGAAGATGACGTGAAGGTCATTACGGAGGTGTGCAAGTCAAAGGACGGGCAGCTATCGAAGGCATTCGGCATCGCAAGCTCCCTTTGCAGATGCTGTTATCATGGAGAAAATCGTCAACTTGGATTTTCAGGTGAGTTCTTTCCAAGTTTATTTACCTTAAAATCGCTGTGACGACGTTATACTGACACTTGTTAGCATTTTGTGTTGGCAGAGAATGATGACGGATACTGTGGAGAAGCTTCTGTACGATCCTGAGCACATGAACTTGTCACCTAGCAGGACTGACCTTTCGAGCAGGCTTATTGGTAAGCTTCTGTTGTGCATTCCGTGTTCATCGTTTCTCGCGTTCCTCACACAATTTTCCCCCGATTGCAGTGCATGCTGGTTTCACGGAAGGAAGTGATGAAGCCGTTAGGCTGCTGGCCGTGATGAAGGACAAGGATATTATCACCAAAACCGAGCGTCGTTTCAACAACCGCATCGGGAAGTATTACCATGGCTGCAGGAAGTCCCTTAGGAAGCAGCCAACGAAGCTTTTGGTTGCTGTACGGGTGGGTAATCTCATTCGTTATGACGAGCCTAACGATTTTGCCAAGTGCCACCTCTACGTGGAAGTTAATTCAACCTGTAAGTTTTTATGTTACTAAATTTGTTTCCTGAACTAGCACACGTTGCCTAACTTCTGCTGTTGATTCTGTTGCAGTGTTCAAGGGCATCTACTGGCATGTCCGTGACGGCCATCCGTTTTCAAGCAGCGCTTTCATCGCCTGTGCACGTCTCTTCACCACTGATTACAAGCCAAATCGCCCCATTGGCCTTTATGCTCAACAGCTTCTCCTGATCCTGGCTGTTGTAAGTAAATATTATCAATGCAAACATTCTGAGTAAATACTTGCATCTAACTCTGTACATGTTTGCACCGTTGGCATGTTCGTTACAGGCTCCGTTATCCCACATCTAACAAGCTGAGGCTGGATCGTTCTGGTGACTCTGAAGCAACTAGCAGGCAAGCCCGCATTGTGCAGCGTTGGATCAACAGCCATGGGTCTCCAGCGGGAAACTACATAGCTCTTGGCATGCTGTGCTTGGCTGGTTGGCAAACCATCCCTCAGGATGTTTTGGATGCTGATCTCCTGGGGGATGAGGGTGGTGATGAAGATTCTGAGGAGGAGGAGGTGGTGGATTGTGAGTCTGATGATTAGTACTAGGCATGTAGTTTCCAGGATAATGTTTAGGCACATAAGCCACGTAGTTTCCTAATTATTAACTATGCTTACTAATGCAATGCACTGTACCTATTAATATGCTTATTACTTTCTTAATTTCCTAATTTGTAAATTAGCTTATTAATGCAATGCACAACACGTTCTGAACGTACTTTAAAAGCTATAAATTTCCGGTTTTATATTTCATTTCGACCTACTATCGTACGTAATTGTAAATCCAAAAAGTTTAATCACCGTAACAAAAAACCTAACTGTACTGTTACAGTAACAATGTAGCGCTCGAAACGATACTGCGTGTTAGTTCACTGTAGTCACAATGCTTAAAGTGTAATGTTTTCATCAACTCGTACAATGTATGAGTTTGGAATGTACCAACCACATCGCTAACCATTGTCGGGTTGCGCTTTGATGGAACAGTACTTTCGAGACAGTCACAACCGTTTGAAACGCCCAAAACGTGAAGACTAGAAATTGTAATCCATTCTGTATCTCGGAAGCGCTGCAATACACCCACCCCGCGCTTTGCATAGGGTCGAGATGGAGTGAGAAGAGTACGAAACAGGTTGGGAATGTTGCCACCTGGCGTGTTCACATCAACCTGCGATACACACGCTGATATTGTTGAATTCAACACTCCCAACCGTGGCATCTCGAAATTTCGCCCCGCGATGGATTTCAACCCCCAGACATTTTGACGGAAAGTTGAAGGCGGGACACTTGTAGTTGCCGATGTTGGGACTACCGTGAAGAATGCGGTGGTGACGGTTCCAACTTATTTCAATGATTCTCAGTGCCAGGCGACTAAAGACGCGGGTGCGATTACTGGACTGAACGTGATGCGAATAATCAACGAGCTGACTGCAGCTGCTATCGCGTACGGTCTTGATAAGAAGAACAGCAACTCATCGGAGAAAAACGTGCTCATTTTCGACCTCGGTGGGGGAACCTTCGATGTGTCACTTCTTTCAATCGAGGACGGCATTTTCGAGGTGAAAGCGATAGCTGGTGACACGCATCTGGGTGGCGAAGACTTTGACAATCGCATAGTGCAACACTTCGTACAGGAGCTCAAGCGAAAGTACAAGATGTCAGGATCGTTGACGCCTCAATCGACAAAAGTCTGCTTGCTATTGTCGATGACGTTCTCCTCGTTCTCACGATTCCAACGATATGCGCAGCGGTTAATTCTGAGAACGTTTCACTAAGTTTTCAATCTCACCAGTGCTTGTCTTGCACCTTCACGGGGCTTTCACGGAACCTTCACGGGGCCTTAACGAGCCCTAAACTCGAATTCTGCAGCTTCGGTTCTCTGCTGGGCCTTGACGGGCCTTTGACGGAAGTTTCACGAAGGAATTCGCGTCACTACTGTTTGACTTAGCCTTCACGGAGGCTTCACGGAAGTTTGACGCGAAATCAACCAAAGTGCCAAAAACGCCACCAATCAGAATCGAACACGAATCTTCACCAAGTGAAGAATTTCTAAGTGTTTTTTTCAACTGACTGGTACAACTAACTTATACTCATCCCAATGCACCCACGTAACTGAACCCAAAACGTGTCCCACAAGCAACCTCCCTTGTAACCAAACTTGCCCCACACTCCAAGTTTCACGTCGCGTCGCACACGCAACCACGACTCCTTCGTCGAGCACTCCCGAAGTCCGAATTTCAGAAACTTGTGAACCACGCCATCGTTTCAACCCAAACTCCTACCCCGTCAAACCAATTCCTTCACTTTCCCATCACTATTCCCCCGTAACTTCTCCTCCACTCCCATTTCTTCCTTACGTTTCTACTCCTTTCCCCTCAGCGTAGACCACACGCCAAGTAATCTTAGACGCTTCTTAGTAATTCCTTCTCGCTTCTTCCACACGCCACCGCCATAAGTCGCCGTAGGTCCGCATTTCTCGCCGTCGTTAGTGTGGTTCGTAGAAACCACTCCAACACAAGAAGGATCTGAGTAACAACCCGCGGTCTCTTCGCCGACTTCGCACGGCTTGCGAGCGCGCCAAGCGAACCCTCTCATCCACCGCGCAAACCACCATCGAGATCGACTTGCTCTACGAGGGAATCGATTTCTACAGCACCATAACTCGCGCGCGCTTTGAGGAGCTCAACATGGACATGTTTCAAAAGTGCATGAATCCTGTGGAGAAGTGCCTCAAGGACGCGAAGATGTCCAAGGCGCAGATTCACGACGTCGTGCTCGTGGGTGGGTCAACGCACATTCCCAAGGTGCAGCAGCTGCTGCAAGAGTATTTCAACGGCAAGGAGCTTTGCAAGAGCATCAACCCCGACGAGGCCGTCGCGTATGGCGCGGCGGTTCAAGCGGCGATTCTGAGCGGCGAGGGGAACGAGAAGGTGCAGGACCTGCTGCTGCTCGACGTGACGCCGCTGTCGCTTGGGTTGGAGACACCTGGAGGGGTAACGATGGTGCTGATTCCTAGGAACTCCACGATTCCGACGAAGAAGGAGCAGGTGTTCTCGACGTTTTCGGATAACCAGCCGGGAGTGCTAATTCAAGTATACGAAGGTGAGCGCGCCCGGACCAAGGACAACAATCTACTCGGAAAGTTCGAGCTGTCGGGAATTCCGCCGGCGCCACGTGGCGTGCCGCAGATCACCGTGACGTTCGACATTGATGCGAACGGCATTCTGAACGTGAGCGCGGAGGACAAGACTAGCGGGCAGAAGAACAAGATCACTATCACGAATGATAAGGGCCGACTGAGCAAGGAGGAAATCGAGCGGATGGTGGAGGAAGCAGAGAAGTACAAGGAGGATGTTGAGCAGCACAAGAAGCGGGTTGAGGCGAAGAACGCGCTCGAGAATTATTCGTACGGCATGCATAACACCGTTCGCGACGACAAGATCACGGGGAAGCTGTCGCCTGAAGATAAGAAGGCGATCGAGAAGGCTGGTGACGAGACGATTGATTGGCTGGATAAGAACCAGCTCGCCGACGTGGACGAATTCGAGGACAACCAAAAGGAGCTGGAAGGCATTTGTAACCCGATCGTTTCGAAAATGTATCAAGTTGGTGCTGGACCAGTGCCAGGAGCGGGAGGAATGGGGGATGTGCCTATGGGGGGTGGTTCTTCGAGCGGAGGTGACAGGCCAAAGATTGAGGAGGTAGACTAAGGGATGAGAAAAGGTGGAGAGAGGTTCAATATGAACTTGTGCCTCTTTAGTCGAATGGAAATGGTTTCTCACTCTTATAAATTTTGAAATGTGTTTCTGCTGTGTTGTTTTAGCAAATATTGAAACGGAGCAGCTAAAAATGGAGTTGGGAGAGATAGCACCGGCTAGACTAGCGCTCAAGGCGCTTGAAGCTGCACCGGAGGATTGGAAGAAAGTATTGGTGGCAGCTGGAGGCATTAGCTCGGCTGCCTCACAGCAGCAACAGTTACCGTACGTCTCAAGCGATGGGATTTTCTCACTGAAGCAGATGAGGAGGTTTTGGGGGTCGGGCCAGGCCTCTAACAAGCAGGAGAAGTGGGGGAGCAGATGGGGCAGAAAAATCGACTGGAGGAAAGTCATTGCCATCAGGGACTCTCGAGTGGTTCCCAACCGCCCACGCAGTGTTCTGCTGAGGATCCACGGCCTCAATCTTCAGGTGGGAGAGAGGGTGGCTTTCCTCCGCCGCAAGCCGGTCTGCCCGTACTGTAGCGAGGAGGAAACCCTAAAGCATTGTCTCTCCACCTGCCTGGCCATCCAAGTGGTCACCACTTCGATCCTGCGGGCTCTGCGCATGATAGACCCAGCTCGCCGCATCTCCTCGCTGGGGGACATGCTCTTCAAGCGTGTTGGCACTGACTCGGCTTTTCCGGAGGCAACTCTGGCGGCAATTGGTTTACATCAGATCTGGGTGGAGCGATGCGAAGAAGTGTTTCGGGGAGGGAAATTTAGAGCACGCCAAGTTCTGGGACAAATTGAGCGGGCTTTCTACCTTCATGCGAGAATCTACCTAAGAGAACAACGGACGAAACTGCGAAAAGGGGCGGGCGGCATTCGGAAGAGCAAGTTGGCGAGACTATTGGCGGACGAACAGCAACTGTTTGGAAACATCACGACCGTGGATGGGATGAAATGGAAGTGGACGAATGGCTTTGCAGCCATCTGGTCCAAGTAGCGTAGGGCACGTGGCCCCGTCAAGTACCCTCTGGTGTTCGGCTTATGCTGTCCCCCTTAAGCACAGTTACGACTGTAGTTGAATTTATACACTTGCTCGTCTCCGGTATATTCTATTAATTCAATAAAAAAAGTTTTAGTAAATATTATAGTTCATAGGTGTACTGGTGTACACACTTCTGCTCAAACAAAAACCATTAACTTATAGCAACCTACTGGTAGATAACACAATCAATCTTCAATATATGATTAACCAATCAAAGCCTACACGTATTATGGGTAACGTTAAATTGAAGCAAAGAATGGAAGCAATAGTGAAACTGCCATGTAAGGCAGGCAGGACAGCTCCGGTGGTCTCTTGCTTGGCACTTATCTTTGCTGTTCTGTTAACTTCACTTCACCGGCTTCACTTTGATAGAGGACGGCTTCGTGTTTCATTTGACTCTCGGCTTTGAAATGTCCGCCTTCACCCCTTCCCTCTCCGGTACCACTGCAGTTATCCTTGAAATCTCCTATCACAACCCCAAGCTCTCCTCTTCGTGCTCACTGAAACTGCTTTGCTTTGATGGCTTGATGTTTCTCCCAGCAGGCAAAGGCACGGCCCACTTCACTCTCAGCTTTGCAATTTTCGCCTTCACCTCATCACAGAGCTTGGCTCTCAGATCAGCGATTTGGATGGAGTGAAATGGGAAGCGGGAATGGGAGGGATGGGACAAGGTGTGAAGCGATGGGGTAGTAGAGGGAAGAACACTGGAGTGGACAGAAACGAGAATGCAGAGATGGAGAGAGAGCTGCAGGGACAAGTGAAGTCGAAGTGGGGGAGAGGTGAGGATTAAGCATGGGGAGAAGTCCAAGCAGCAGCTGTCCAAGGGAACAGCGGACACGAATCCATCACTAGGAGGCTCAACTTTCTCAGGCGATCCAATCCCAATACTCTCCCATCCGATCTCATTTGAGTGAAGTGCTGTTTCCTCCCACCCACCACTGCCACCTGCACGGCCAAAAGGGGAGGGGTGCGTGCAGAACAGTTGCGGTGGTGTCCCCTACGCCCCTCCCCTCCACCTGCAAGGAGAAAATTGTGAAGCAGTGAATAAGCGGCTTTGGGTGAGTGTGAGCGGTGTGCATAGGTGGGGTGCGGTGGCAGATAAGAGCAGCAGAGGGACCACGGCAGCAGCCCTAGGCACATAGTGCAGATCCAGGGGCAAGATGGACTAGAGTAGAGGAGAACCAATCCCATTAATCTTCCATCTCAGTCGAGTGGAGTGCTGCCCCCCCTCTCCACTCACCGCTGGTAGCTGCGGGGTGCAAAACAGTGGCGGTGTTGACCCCCACGCCCCTCCCCTCAACCTGCAAGGAGCAAACTGTGAAGCAGTAAGTGGTGGGGCTGTGAGCGGTGTGCATAGGTGGGGTGCGGTGGCAGGTGATAGCAGCAGAGGGCCACCGGAGCACCTCTAGGCACAAGGTGCAGACCCAGGGGTGAAACTTATTTAAGCAGTCTTTAGGGTTACAGGGTGGGCTTTATCAGGGGCTGAAAAAGGAGGGGGTAGTACCTGGAATAGGGGGGTCTGCACCATGTGAGCTAGGCTGCTTCAAGTGGTCCGGTTTCATCCAGGGAAGGAGGCATGCAGCATGGATGGAAAGATGAGGTGAGAGTGCAAGCAAGCGAATGGCTACGCTGCGACAATTGAAAGCAGAGAGAAAGAGGAGGCAGAGAGGAAGAGGCTTGGGGTGATGTTCTTATCTGCTGCGGCTGGTAGTGGCCCTGCTCCTCCTAGCCCTCTCTGCTCCTCCTAGCCCTCTCTGCTCCTCCTAGCCCTCTCTGCTCCTCCTAGCCCTCTCTGCTCCTCCTAGCCCTCTCTGCTCCTCCTAGCCCTCTCTGCTCCTCCTAGCCCTCGCTGCTCCTCCTAGCTCTCTCTGCTCCCTGCCCCTCAACCAGCTTCACAGCACCCTGGATCCTGGGGGAAGGGAAAAAAACAGGAGTGGAGGGGGTCGAAACAGGAGAGACAGAGAGGAACAAGAGGGCAGAAAGGCAGGCAAATTAGAAGGGGGATGTGCGGGCGGCGATGTCGAACGGAGGGGAAGAGGGCAAGGCGCCAGTGGAGGAGACAAAGCCACAAGCCACAGAACCCCCAAGGGAACCTGAGAGGGTAGATCTGAGGGGGCTGTAGAGCCCTAGGGAGGCTGAACCTGAACCTGAGGGTTTACCTGCAGTAGTGGGGAAGGGGGTCCGTGGCTTGGGAACTGGGCTCCAACCAGTTGAGACGGTTTGACAGGGACGGTGGGCAAAGAACATCCAGGAGAGGAATGAAGAGCGGCATGCAAGGTTAAGTCCAATCAGGCTTAGGGCATGTTGGCATGAGCGGTGAGGTTTGGTTGGCGTCAGAGAGAGTGGCAGTACGAGAGGGCAGCATGAGAGAGCAGCACATAAGTGCGGGAAATAGACGTTACTGGCTGCTCTATGCCCATGTGGTGGGTGATTGGAAGGATTGGGAAAGAGGGGATGGCAGGAGAAGAGGAAGAGATGTATTAGTGGGCAGCAGGAGAGGCCAGGGGGATCGGTGATGAAGAGACTAGTAGGAGTGACGGGAGGAGTGACAGTTCCAGTTAATCCCTCATTGGCACCTTGAAAAACACAGCAGCAGGGTATTCAGCCAAACCTGCCATCGACCTGCCACTGACCTGCCATTGACCTGCCACTGACCTGCCACTGACCTGCCATTGACCTGCCATTGACCTGCCACTGACCTGCCATTGACCTGCCACTGACCTGGCATTGACCTGCCACTGACCTGCCATTGACCTGCCATTGACCTGCCATTGACCTGCCATTGACCTGCCATTGACCTGCCATTGACCTGCCATTGACCTGCCATTGACCTGCCATTGACCTGCCATTGACCTGCCATTGACCTGCCACTGACCTGCCATTGACCTGCCATTGACCTGCACTATCTCGTGGGCAGCCCACGTCCCCCACAGCATGCACCTCCTTCTCCCGCTTTCTTCCTTGCGGAAGGAAACTACATGCACCCAGCAGCGTGGTGCTACCAGTGACCTGCTGGTGACTCGTGTTGAGCCCACGCCCTTCTCACCACACGCATCCTTCGCCCTCTGCTTGCTCTTAAGGAAGAAAACTGCCACGGGGCACCCAGCAGTGTGAGAATGGGAGGGGGAGTGGGAGGGGAAGGGGGAAGGAGAGGGGGTGGGAGGGGTGGGGGAGGGGGAGGGGGAGGGGTAGGGGGGAAAAATACGTTCAGCCAACTCTTCATGGGTAAGGATGGAAGATTATGGAGGCCTCAGTTTATGCCTATGAGTGGAATGCTGTTCAACAGAATCTGACATGGCTGGCAGGGTGTCGTCGTAATTCTGACGTTTTTTTTATCTCCGTCAATTGGTGCCATTTTTTTATCTACGCCAATTGGTGCCATTTTTTTTATCTACGTCTGTGATTCTAATCCTATACCGTGTCGGATTGACGTTCATCCATGAATGCCACACTTCAACCCAGACAAACTATTGACTCACAAACAAGTACCAAACAACCCAGCCCCCCACCAATCACTCTCTCACTCACTCACTGAAAACGCACCTCCAATTCTCCCTTTGCTTGTCCCAGACTCCCAACACCCAGCAGCCTTGCCCAGCTTCGCCTGCAGCATCCCATGCACCTCAGCCTGGGTGAACATCCCATGCACCTCAGCCTGGGTGAACATCCCATGCACCTCTACCACATCAGCATCCTCTGCCCGGGGGAACAGTGCGCCCGCCCCGTACGGGTGGGAGTCCGCGGTCCAGAAACCAGTACAGTAGAAGTAGGTGCAGAGCTGGCGGTAAAAGGGGTGGATGGGGGAGGGAAGAGGGTAATGGGTGCTCAAGGGGAGGTGCGGTGCAGCCTTGGCGAGGAGTGCACTCAGCAGCCCGCAGATTCAACAGTGTGCCGGTTCGCCGTTACGCTTTTGAGGATTCTCAGAAGCGATCCAGGACTTAGGAGCAGCGCGCAGGCAGCCTCAGCAGCCTGCAAGTTCCATGTGAATAGTGCAAGCATGCTGCAGGAGTGGGAATTCATGGGCCATGCTGCAGGAGTGGGAATTCATGGGCCATGCTGCAAGAGTGGGAATTCATGGGCCATGCTGCAGGAGTGGGAATTCATTGGCCATGCTGCAGGAGTGGGAATTCATGGGCCATGCTGCAGGAGTGGGAATTCATGGGCCATGCTGCAGGAGTGGGAATTCATGGGCCATGCTGCAGGAGTGGGAATTCATGGGCCATGCTGCAGGAGTGGGAATTCATGGGCCAGAAACCGGTGCAGGAGAAGCAGGTGCGGAGATGCGGGTACGACGCGGAACGAGGGTTGGGAGATGTGGGAAGGGGAGGGGAGAGTAAGAGGGTGAGCACCAGTGCGCCTAATGAGACGTCTCAAAATTAATCATCGCAGGGGTGAGAATCTGTGGGTCGATACCGCGGGCCAGAGTGGGTGTAAGAGAAGCAGGATCAGAGCTGGGGAGGAGAGGGGGGGAAAGGGGAAAGGAGGAAAAGGTGCAGTGGCTTATGACAGGGACGGGGAAACTGTGCTGTAGGGACACGCGATGACATCAGATGAGCGGAGGATAGAAATGGGGCTGAGTAGTAAGAGGGGATCAAGAATAGGAAAGGGAGGGGAAGTAACTGAGGGGGGGTGGGGTAACGTATCTCACCTTGGCTGCAACCACCTTTTCAACTCACCTGGCTCCAAGGTGGTTGCTCGATCCACTCACCCTCACAGCCATTCCACTGCCACTTGCAGCTACTCCACGGTGAACCGTCACCAGCAACTCCCACCAGCAACTCCCACCAGCAACTCTCACTGGAACAAGCTCACGGCACTTGGGCTTGTTCAAGTTGTTTCTGGCTGAGAATTCTTCACAAGAGAATTTCCTTAGAAGCAAGGAAGAACAAACAGAAAGAGAAACAGCAACTACTCTCTAATTCCTACGAATGCATTTCTATATGTACAGTACATTTACAATTCAGACATGCGGCTCGGAATGTCGATTCGGGTGGCCAGCCCCAACATCGAGCCGCATTCCATATTTCTACTCACATTTGTACACCTCACTGCACCCACACACGTGTTACATTTCTATTCCTCCAAGTATGGACTTTCGCCACCTGTCCCACGCGGAAGTCCCCCCAAGTCAGTCAAGGCACGAAACCTCAGTTTTGCCCTTCTCACGTGGGTCCCCCACGTCCTGCTCACTTCCGCCCCTTTGCTGCCCACGTTCGCAGTTGCACGCTGCTGCTGCATGCTTTCGCCTCCCGTGCGCTTCACGCTGCCTCCAGTGCAGCCCCCACTTGTTACATTACCTCCCCTCCCTGAAGGCACCGTCCTCGGTGCCAATGAGGCAAGATACACTCCAATGGCACGAGGAGCATGGCTGAGGTTGGAGAATGGCTCCCATGAATCTTCAGATGCAGATGTGTTGCGCCAGTGAATGAGGTATTCACGGCCAACCGAAGTGTCACGGTGTGAGAGGATGGTGTCGACCTCATGCAGGTCCGGATGGGCAGAGAACATGGGTGGGCGGGGCTGGAATGGGTGAGAGGGAGTACGGTAAGGTCAAAGAAGGTGAACATGGAAAACAGGGTGTATGGTCATGTGGGGAGGAAGTTGAAGGCGGTAGCTGACCGGTGAGAGAACCTTGGTGATGGGGAATGGTCCAACGAATCTGGGAGCGAGCTTGCGAGAAGTTCCAGCATTCAGCAGGGGCAGGTTAGCCGTTGAAAGCAGCACCAAATCACCAACTTTGAAAGTGGTGTGACACCTATGCTGGTTGGCATAGCGAACTTGGCGCTCTTGTGCAAGATGAAGCTTCCTTCGGGCAAGTTGAAGAATGCGGTGATGAGAAGAGATGAAATCTGCTGCTGTGGGGTTAGAGGAATGAAGAGAGTGAGGGAGGGATGTGACTGAGCGTGGTAGCTGTCCAGTAGCTAAAAGAAACGGTGGTTCTCCTGTGGCAACGTTGGGGCTGCTGTTGTAGGCAAACTCCACTGCTGCCAAGTGCTGATCCCAGTCAGTTTGCATAGAATTCACACACGAGCGTAGCGCATCCTCCAAGGTTCTGTTCATGCGCTCTGTCTGACCGTCAGTTTCAGGGTGGTAGGCTCTAGAGAGTCGAATCTGTGTGCCCAACAGTTGAAACAGTGCAGTCCAGAAGTTGCTGAGGAACTGTGTGTCTCTGTCACTGATTATGGCTGAGGGCAGTCCGTGTAGCCTCACCACGTGCGTGAAAAACAGCTTGGCAGTTTCAGCAGCAGTCACTGTGCCAGTTTTAGGGATGAAGTGAGCCATCTTGGACAGCTTGTCAATCACCACGAGAATGCTGTCAAAGCCTGTAGGGGTGCAGGGTAGGTCTGTGATAAAATACAGAGAAACACAAGTCCAGGGGGCTGTGGGTATCTCTAATGGTTGCAGCAGACCAGCTGGTGCAGTGGTGCGAGCCTTGTTGACCACAGGTAGGACATGAAGAAACATACTCTGCTACACTCCGGGACAGTCCAGGCCAGTAGTAGTCACGAGAAATGGCAGCATACGTCTTGTCACTGCCGAAGTGTGACCGGTTGTCATGGTACTCGTGTAGTAGCAGCTGGCGAAGCCTGGAGTCATCAGGTACACACACAGCACCAGAATCTGCACGGGTCCAAAAGGGATTGCTGAAAAGAAAGGATGGGTCATGGGGGGCTTTCTGTTGGTACAGGTGATCACGGTTGTAACCACGGCTGAAACGAGTGATGAAGTTGCGGTCCCATGTAACCACTCCCATGACATTCAGCTCCTCTGCTGCTGGCCGTGACAGAACATCCGCCGAATTGAAGCGCCCTGGTTTGTACACAATCTGAAAATTGGGAACGTACTGCTCCAAAAACTGAACCCACCGCACTTGCCGTGGTGTGATCTGTGACTGTGTTTTCAGGTACTCCAGTGTTCAGTGATCAGTGAAGACTGTAACGGGCTGCATCTCCACATAACAGCGCCACTTCTTCAGTGCATGCACCACAGCAAGTGCCTCTCTCTCGTGAATGGGGTATGTGCGCTCTGCAGCAGTGAGCTTCCGTGACTCAAAGGCTATTGGCTGCAGCCCAGCTTCCTGCTCCTGGCAGAGAATTGCTCCAAGGGCAACGTCTGATGCATCACACCAAATGAAGTATGGGAGCTCTGGATTCGGTACTGCTAGGGCAGGGGGTGAAGTAAGAGAAGTGTTGAGCTGCTCAAAAGCTTGCTGCTGCAATGGTCCCCAACTGAATGATGAGTCCTTCCGTAAGAGATCGGTCAGAGGTGCTTCCACTGCTGCAAATCCCTTCACAAACCGCTGGTAGTAGTTAGCTAGCCCCAAGAGAGCCTGCACCTCCTTCACTGTACTCGGCTGCTTCCACTCCTTCAGGACTGCTACCTTGCTGTTGTCTACTTCCAGCTTCCCATGTGAAATGACATGACCCAAGAAAGACAGCTTGGTCTTTGCAAACTCACTTTGAACGCTTGGCATACAATATGTAGTCACTCAGACGTGCAAGAACCAGCTCAAGGTGCTTGAGGTGTTCCTCACGAGTGCGACTGTAAACCAGCAAATCATCAATGAAAACCACCAGAAACTTGTCAATGAAATCACTGAAAATGCTCTGCATCATGCCTTGGAAAGTGGCTGGAGCGTTGGTGAGACCTAAGGGCAACACACGAAACTCATAATGACCGTACCGTGTTCGGAATGCTGTTTTTGGGATGTCCTCACTCTGAATCCGCACCTGATGATACCCCGAACGCAGATCCAACTTCGAGAAGTACCGTGCCTCACCAACTTGCTCAAACAGCTCATCTATCCGTGGCAGTGGGTATCGGTTCTTCACTGTTATCTTGTTCAGCCCGCGGTAATCTACACACATCCGCAGAGAACCATCCTTTTTCCGCACGAACAGCACCGGAGAAGCGTATGGAGAAGAACTAGGTTGAATGAACTCCTTAGCTAACAGGTCCTCTAACTGCTTCTTCAGCTCCTTCAACTCCACTGCACTCATCTTGTAGGTCGGTCTAACTGGTGGGGTAGATCCAGGAATCAGCTTTATCCTATGATCTGCAGCTCGCTTAGGAGGAAGTCCAGCCGGTAAGTCCACGGGAAACACCCCTGAAATTTTTTCCAGCAGCTTCTCTACACCCCGTGTAAACTCCTCATCCTCATGTGATGCTGAAACCGTTGGTGTTACTGCGTCTGGTGATGTAGGCTGGACCTCTGTGATGAGACCTAGAAAAACTGCTTCCTCCCCTCGAATGGAACCAAACTGCTTCGCACTAATGAGCTGCAAGGTCATCCCCTCCTGCTGCTGCCCCACTGGTAAAACGTACAGATCTGCCCCCAAACAGCACCTTGACCTCCCTGGTTCTCCAATCCACCTGAGGGTTCACTGCAGCCAACCAGTTCCTGCCCAAGATGATGTCATGACCGTCAAGCCAGATTTGTTGGAAAGGGATTTTTCCATGATACTCCCCTATGTTGCAGCTGACCGGGTACAACTCAGGTCCACAACTCCTCACTACACCATCCGCCATGCGCACCGTACTCTCCACTGAACTGCTCTGCACAGGTAACTTCCATTCATGCACCAGCGGTGGAAAGGAGTAGGAGAAGGTAGGAAAAGAGAGGATACGGTAGAATATAAAAGGGGGTGAGAGTGAAGTGAAAGAGGGCAGGGGAGGAGAGGTGAAGGCAAAATGAGAATTTCAGCAAGGGATGTGGCTAAGGGAGTGAAAGAATGGTGAGAGGAAGGCAAGATGGTATGGCAGAGGTAGGAGTGGGAGGGCAAAGTGAGAATTTCAGCAAGGGATGAGGCTAGGGGAGTGAAAGCATAGTTAGAGGAAGGCAAGATGGTATGGCAGAGGTAGGAGTGGGAGAGCAAAGTGAGAATTTCAGCAATGAATGAGGCTAGGGGAGTGAAAGCATGGTTAGAGGAAGGCGAGACGGTATGGCAGAGGTAAGAGTGGGAGAGCAAAGTGAGAATTTCAGCAATGAATGAGGCTAGAGGAGTGAAAGCATGGTTAGAGGAAGGCGAGATGGTATGGCAGAGGTAGGAGTGGGAGATCAAAGTGAGAATTTCAGCAATGAATGAGGCTGGGGGAGTGAAATCATGGTTAGAGGAAGGCGAGATGGTATGGCAGAGGTAAGAGTGGGAGAGCAAAGTGAGAATTTTAGCAATGAATGAGGCTAGGGGAGTGAAAGCATGGTTAGAGGAAGCCGATATGGTATGGCAGAGGTAGGAGTGGGAGAGCAAAGTAAGAATTTTAGAAATGAATGAGGCTAGGGGAGTGAAAACATGGTTAGAGGAAGGCGAGATGGTATGGCAGAGGTAGGAGTGGGAGGGCAAAGTGAGAATTTCAGCAAGGGATGAGGCTAGGGGAGTGAA